GCGGATGCATTGGTGGTCATCTTCCAGGATTCTATAGACTCTGGAACAGTCCCTGCAGATTGGAGGGTGGCTAATGTCACTCCAGTATTCAAAAAGGAAAGTAGAGAGAAAAAAGGGAATTATAGACTGGTAAGCCTAACATTGGTAGTGGGGAAAATTCTCGAATGCCTTGTCAAGGATTTTATAGCAGAGCAGTTAGAAAGCAGTGGCAGGATCAGACAGAGTCAGCATGGATTTATGAAGGGGAAATCATGCTTGACAAATCTGTTGGAATTGTATGAAGGTGTAACCAGTAGAGTTTACAAGGGAGAACCAGTCCATGTGGTTTATTTGGACTTTCAGAAAGCGTTTGACAAAGGTCCACGTAAGAGATTAATGTGCAAGATTAAAGCACATGGGATTGGGGGAAGTGTATTGAGATGGATAGGAAACTGGTTGGTAGAGAGGAAACAAAGAGTAGGAATTAATGGAATTAATAGCAAGAACTGCCGATGCTGGAGTCAGAGATAACACAGTGTAGAGCTGGAGGAGCACAGCAGGCCAGGCAGCATCAGAGGAACAGGAAAGTTGACATTTCGGGTCGGGACCCTTCTTCAGAAATGGGGGAGGGGGAAGGGAGCTCAGAAATAAATAGAGAGAGGAGGGGTGGGGCTGGGGAAGGTAGGTGGGATGGTGATAGGTGAGTGCAGGTAGGCAGTGGTGGGGATTGGTCAGTGAAGTGGGAGGGACGGATAGGTGGGAGAGAAGATGGACAGGTTGTGTCAGGTCAGCGAGGCAGGGATGAGGGAGGCTTGGACATGGGATGAGGCCGGGGGTTGGGGGCATGGAAATTTTAAATTAATGGGTCCTTTGCAAATTGGCAGGCAGTAACTGGTGGGATGCCATGGGGATTGGTGCTAGGACCCCAGCTATTCACAATATATGTTAATGATTTGGATGAGGGAGCGAAATGTAACATCTCCAAGTTTGCAGAAGATACCAAGTTGGGTGGGAGGGTGAACTGTGACAAGGATGCAGAGATCCTTCAACATGATCTGGACAGGTTGGGTGAGTGGCAGATCAATGGCAGATGCAGTACAATTTGGATAAATGTGGGGTTATTCACTTTGGAAGCAAAAACAAGAAGGCAGATTACTACCTGAGTGTCTATAAATTGGGAGAGGGGAGTGTGCAGTGGGACCTGGGTGTCCTTGTGCACCGTCGCTGAAGGTAAACATGCAGGTACAGCAGGCAGTAAAGAAGACAAATGGTATGTTAGCCTTCATTGTGAGAGGTTTCGAGCACAGGAGCAAGGATGTGTTGTTGCAGTTTTATAGGGCCTTGGTGAGGCCATACCTACAATATTGTGTGCAATTTTGTTCTCCTTGTCTGAGGAAGGATGCTCTTGCTCTCGAGGGAGTGCAGCGAAGGTTTACCAGGCTGATTCCAGGGATGGCGGGTCTGACGTATGAGGAGAGATTGACCAGTTTGGGATTGTTTTTACTGAAGTTCAGACACATGAGGGGGGATCTCATAGAGATTTATAAAATTCTAACAGGACTGGACAGGGTAGATGCAGGGAGGATGTTCCCAAAGGTGGGTTTGTCCAGAACCAGGGGCCACAGTCTAAGGATTGAGGGGTAGACGATTTAGGATGGAGATGAGGAGACATTTCTTCACCCAAAGAGTGGTTAGCCTATGGAATTCATTACCACAGGAAGCAGTTGATGCCAAAACATTGAATGTATTCAAGAGGTGACTAGATATAGCACATGGGGCGAATGGGATCAAAGGTTATTAGGAGAAAGCAGAATTAGGTTATTGAGTTGGACAATCAGCCATGATCGTGAAGAATGGCAGAGCAGGCTCGAAGGGCCGAATGGCCTCTTCCTGCTCCTATCATCTATGTTTCTATATAATTGTACCAGCCTCCACCACTTCCTCTGGCAGCTCATTCCATACACGCACCACCCTCTGCGTGAAAAAGTTGCCCTTAAGGTCCATTTTAAATCTTTCCCCTCTCACCTTAAACCTATGCCCTCTAGTTTTGGATTACCCTACCCTAGGGAAAAGACCTTGACTATTCACCCTATCCATGCCCCTCATGATTTTATATAAACCTCTATGAGGTTAAGCCTCAGCCTCCGACGCTCTAGGGAAATGTATCTCCTCCAAAAGATAGTAATCCAACAGTACTGCATTGGAGTATGAGTCCTCAAATCCAGGAGTGGGGCTTGAACCTGAGGATTCAGAGGGGTAACTGAGTGACAGTCGACGCTGACGCTCAAAGTTACAAAATCAAGGACCGTCTCGTCATTTCATTCACCTTTTTCAATGTTTCCGCAGACTTTCATCCTGGTTCTCAACAATGGGACCTAAGGTGCAACTTTTTCACACTGAGGGTGGTGCGTGTATGGAATGAGCTTCCAGAGGAAGCGATGGAGGCTGGTACAGTTGCAACATTTAAAAGGCATCTGGTTGGGTATATGAATAGGAAGGGTTTAGAGGGATATGGGCCGAATGCTGACAAATGGACTAGATATATCTAGTCGGCATGGAAGAGTTGGGCCGAAGGGTCTATTTCCGTGCCATACGCTTCTATGACTCTTTAACAGAATAAAACGGGACAGGCAAATACTGGAGGCCTGGGTAATGGAAAGGTCAAGTCAAATTGAAAAAATAATCCTCTTTTTACATAGAGATAACAAGGTGTAGAGCTGGATGAACACAGCAGGCCAAGCAGCATCAGAGGAGCAGGAAGGCTGACGTTTCGGGCCTAGACCCTTCTTCAGAAAAATGA